TGTTTCAAAAATTGTATCTTAAAAATTTTGAATTTTATGGTCATCGTTATAAAGAAAACAATTCATATTAAAGTCTTTAATTAAAATTTTTTTTTTTTCTGCGCCACATGTTTCCACAATATGTTGTAAAAACGTGAAAGTATAAAACAGATGGAAGTTCATCGAGCAGCAAACATCAAAGCAATTTCAAGTCGTCTCGGGAGTATGCTTGTAACCGACAATAAAAAAAAACAAGTTTCACTGGATAAAAAAACAACAAAATTCACTGAAATGATTTTTATTAAAACATTAAAAATTGAATTATTCTAGGGATATGCTGCAAATTTTTAACCATTAGTAATTGCAATTATTCAACAAAAGGTTTATTAAAACTCGGCAATTAAATAGAACCACTTGATTTTAAAAGCATATGTTAGTTTAAGCTTCTTTTCTTGCTTCAAGTCATAACACGTTTGATAAACAAGACAACTAAAACAATTATAAAAAAATCAAAAAAATTGTTTTCTAAATAACTAAAGTCCAAAGTTTTATTAGCTGTATATCATAACTCCATTCATTCTCGTAGTACTTCATTCATTTGATATGAAGTTTATAAAAAAGTTGTTGTTTGCTGTTGCGCCATTTTTAATGTTTTTTTTGGCGAATCTTAAAAATACTATATTTTAAATTATTATAAACGTACTTAATTGCATCAACGTACAAAGATTGGCGTTTAAGTACAGTCTTTTATGTCGTTTTGAATGATTGCGAAAAAAACCCTTTTAATTCTTTAGGATAAAAATAGGCACAAATAGATTTAATAAATATTTGTTGTTATTTTCAATACTTTTATCGATAACGTGTTCGTTGAAGTTTAAACTTTCTTTTACCTCTTATTTGCATTTGCAATGATATTTGTTTCAAATTTATCCAATCTTTCGTTGAGTATTTTTGTGTTCGCACTAACAATAGCAATTACTGTTTTTTTTTAGTTTTTAAATATAACTTCTGTTTCCTTATTAAAGTCATCCAGCATTTCTTCTATTATTTTTATTACTTCTTGGAGTATTACCACCATACTTAATATTGATAAGATCTTTTTAGTTAATGTTAGATTTGTAGATTTTTTAAATGTTTCTAAATTATCTTTAAGTTTATTTGACTTTATTTATTCACTTTTCTATTCTAAAACTTCCATTCATTTATTTGAAATTTTTTTTAAATATTTTGTTCACAAAAGCGTCTGCTCTCTTCGAAAGCTTAAATCCGTTTTAAAAGAAGAATAAATTAACGGGTCATGTAAAAGTTTCAGATGTAAACAAAAAGTAGATATTCAGCTTGCAATGGGTATCTGCTGTCACTCAGCAGTTTCAACTGCTGGCCATTGAGTGAAATTATTTATAAGTTTGGTGTAGGGAGTTCCCTGTAACATCTAAAACTCTACCACATTAAATGCACTAAAGTAATCCAGAATGTCATCTCATCATTTCTAGAAGAAATTTCTAAAGAAATCAAATCAAATCTGTTTTCTATCCTCTTTGATTAATTTACGGATGTGAGTTACATCAAGCACCTTGCAATATGCGTCCCAGTGGGAAAAAAAATATCTTTAGGCAAATAAAAGACGTCTTTTTTATGACTTGTCATGCCTTTTTATAGTCAGCCTAAATAAAGACGTGGAAAAAGACGTCTTTTAAAAAGACGTCTTCAAAAAAGAGGTCGAAAAGACGTCAAACGGTTCTACGTCTTTAATTAGACGTAGAAAAGATGCCTTTTATATTAATGACCTTTAATATAAAGACATGAGAAAAATTTTCATTTAAACGCTAAGTTAAACAACACCCAGAGAACTTTTTTTTTATTAGGAAGGCGGAGAAAAAATTTACTAACGTTTCTCACTGAAAAACAACTTAAGTTGTTAATAATTAGTAAATCATAATTTGCTTATTATAATTATAATAAATAAATTATTATTTGCTTATTAACAACTTTCGTTGTTAATAAGAAAATCATTATTTGCGTAAGAAAATTGAAAATAATTATTGCCAATAGAACCTAACAAAGTTTTAACCCACAGTATCGAAATTACGATATCTTTGTTACGTTCTAATTGGCCCGTTTTTTGTTTACAATACACTTTTATATGCGTAAAACGTTTTTGCATAAAAAATTTAATTAAAAATCAACTATTTTCGGTAAGCGGGTATATTTTATAATATATGTAATGTAGTAATATATTATTTAATATGTTAAAATGTATTATGTTAAAATTGTTTTTTTCTAGTTAACAGTTGTCTGTTGTTAATAAAGCAAATGAAAAAATGCACATAATGACAACAGATTTATCTTTAGAACTGTTTGCAAACATTTGGTTTAGATAGAAAAGACCAAGCGAAAGTGATACTGGAAAGGTACATCTAAACATCATTGCAGCTTTCTAGTCTTTATTTTTGTTTATGTGTATTTTATCTGTGTTGCTAATGGTATCGCTAGTTTTTATGATTTTATGTTGCTAAGTAAAGCGTCATTATAACAGGCTAAAATAAAGTTTGATTATTGTTTTTATTCAGTTTAAATGAATAATAACTCTCAAGGTGTATTAGCTGAATTATTTTTTCATTATGATAGTCTTTAGTCAATAACGGATTAATTAACTTATTTTATTATTTTATTTATTTTATTAACGGATTTATTAATTTATTATTTATTATAACGGATAGTCTTTATTTATTATAACGGTAGTCTTAACGGGTTTTTAAATTGATAGTCTTAACGGGTTTTTAAATTGGTATGAGTCTACAACACTTAATTTCACTCAAATTCAATTAAAAAGTCACGTCATAGAAGACAGAAAAACAACATTATCTGTTTTCAATAACTTGGATTTCATAGCAAATCTGAGAGATGACAATGTTTAGCTTGGTTTAAATACTACATAATAAAATACATCGTTGTACAGTCATTTTGATGGTCGTAAATTTCTTTAGTACACTCGATTTTATTTATTTTTAGGCTGTTTACCGTGTGACTCCTGTCCATATCTAACCTAGTGGGTTCAAAAAGAAAGGACCGCGCTGGAAACATGAGAGAAACATGAGACTGGAGATGGAGCTGCATTAAAAGCAATACAAATTGCTTTTAATGCAGCTCCATCTCCAGTCGGCTTTCTTCTGAGCGAAGTTCCCCGGTTTTTTAACAAGAGCATTCTTTGTTAAAACGAGTATGAAGAACTCTTTGAACTCATGAATCCAAATAATAAACGTGGGAACCCCATCGCTTTTTCAGAAGTTTACTGCAAATTGTTGGTTGGTTCGATGAACATGTTTTCGTGGTTCAAACTCCACCTCTGGGCAAGTTTTGCGACATCGGTTGGGAAGGAGGCGTGAACTTCCTATTACATGCTCTTCCGCGGTGCTCTGTGATAAGACCGTAAGGACTTCTTGGGGCACCTTAATCAACTTAAAAATAATAATAATAATGATAATTAACTTGTGAATTGGAAAGAACTGAAAGCATTACTTATTTGTGCTGACTTGAATGCAAACTCTGAGGTCTGTTACAAAATCTTCTCAATTAGCAAAATATTTCAAGACAGCACAAAAAGGTAAACTTTTTGTTTTTCTCACTCCAATCATCCAAGAGATTGAGCGTCTAAACTCTCTATATTAAGGGTGCAAATATTGATCGAGAAGATGTAATGAATGAGCTAATTATGCATCTCAAATGCTTAAATCAGCTAGTTTTTGATACTAAGGGGTGTACCAGATTTTCTTTCAAGAGCAACCTCCAAATACAAAACTGAATGCTGAAGAATCAGTCAAAAATGTAAAAATTCGCTGTCATGACTTTCTACAGAGGGCTTTAACCGAGCTTAAATACTTCTAAAGAACAGATCAAATTTTGACGGCTTGTCTAACCTGTCTCCAATGAAATTTCTTTCCCAAGTTGAAAAGGTTCCATTTTCAAATCTACCTTTTCTTTACCTAATAGGTACAAGTAGTCAAGAAACTGAAAACCAATACAGGAAAGTCAGTATCGTTAAATAGACTGAGTCTGACAATTTTAAAGAAAAAGAAGTTCATAAAAATACTGCTAAATACTGTCGACATTTTTGGACATACCGCTTTTCGCGACATTTCCGACTGCTGCCTTGCTTGTCTGTGTGTTACTGTTTCTAACTGCTTTGTTGCGAGAGTCTTTTCAAAAGTCGTCTATGTGAAAAGCAAATAGAGAAACAGAATGCCAAAGAGTTGGATGCAGTCATTCGCATAAAATCTTATTTAATGAGCTGAAAGATTTGTTGTAAAGACATTTAACAGTCTCGAATCAATGATTAAAAAGGTGGAAAATGAAATTTACGCAACAGATGAATGACGATCTTCACATATTGGCGGAACTTTATTAAATGTTTTAGAGATTAATTCTTAACCAAATAAATTTTTGAATAAAATAGTGCTACTTTACTTTTTTTTTAGTTCTGGTTTATTTCTGGTTTATTTTTTATTTATTTTTGGCTTGTTTTCGAAAAAAACCTGGCAACCCTGATAAAAATTAGCATATAAATTTTCGGAAAACTAGCTCCGTGTCGTTTACATAACTAGCTCCGTGTCGTTACATAAAGTTTAATTCTTAAACAAAAACAAAAAGCTTGCTACATTCCAGATTTTGAATATGTGATTAAAATCTGGTTGTTAAACTAATTGTTAAATTTCGCAAAGTGTTTTTTTGTTTTTTTTTGATCCACCCAAATACTAAAGAAATTAAACAAAGCGGATGGAAAGTTTTAGTAAAGCGTTTAAACTAAAGTTAAGTGAGTAGATTTGAGAACTCTCGGGCGTTGGTTGAAGAAAACTATTTAGACACAATTGATCAAGAAAATATAAAAACTAATGCAAAAGCATATTCAATGACATTGAATATGCTTTTGCATTAGTTTTTATTACATTGACAATGTTATCATTGAATATGCTTTTGCATTAATATCTATATTTAGTAAATTAATTCAGGGTATTTTAGCTAAATTAATTAAGGGTATTTAGCTAAATGGTTCATTTAGCTAAATGGTTGCAAATGAATGGCAATCCAACACTTGATGAGTTAAAAACAGCTTTAAAGGAATTGAATAGAATGGATCTAATAAGAAAAGCAGACGAATTCACAAGTAATTATTTTATATTTGTATTTAATATAACGAAAAACAAACATTTTTATGAAAATTGATTAAATTGTTTCTAATTATGACTTGTTTTTTTTGTTTTGTTTTTGTATCTTTCTTTTTTTCTCTACAAGTAGCATCTATAACAAAACATAAAATTTAAAATTAAATTTAATTTGTAAATAATTTATTTTCAAAATAATTCAAAATATCAGTTAGGAAATACCAAAAATAATTTTAATTAATTTTAATTGAATGAGGATCAATTAAAAAATATATAAATACCCTGTATCCTAATTTACTAAAGCTGATCTTTAGAAATTTAAGGAACGTTTTTAACTTTCTGTTTTTTAAGTTTCTGTTTCATGTGAGTAAAGTCTGTAATAAAATTAACTTCAACTGAAAACCTCAAAAAAGAGCAGCTCACGATGGTTCAAAAAAAGTATTTCTATTGGTTTAAAATAAAAGCATTGGTTTTGATAATTTGTTCAATTTCATAAAATAATACTAGATCATAAAATATTTTTTACCAAAATCTTTTTAAGAGGTAGTACCAAATCATTAAACGTCAGACATTTGTTAATTAAATAAATCACAGCAATTTAGGTTAAGTACTCTAAGTTAACCTTTCCTATTTATTTATATTTATAATTATTATATTTTTAATTAATTATTATATATTATAATTATTATATTTTTCAGTTCTAAAAAATAAAATTTATTTTGTTTTTTAATTATAAAAATTAATAAGAAAGTTAATGTTTTGTGTTTAGTAATTAAAAACTAAATATTTTGTGTTTAGGAAATCTTCTAAAACTAGATTTAGTCATGGGTACAGTAACAGTTCAAGAGACAGGAATTTATTATATTTTTGTAAATCTTGCTATTGCTCCTGATTTGAATAATTATCCAATGGGTTTGATCAAATAGATTTTTTTTTTTTAATTTTTTAGAAGTTATTTTAAAGCTGTAGTTTTTAAAATTACCAACGATTTATCAACTAAAACAATTAGTATTATAACAATAACAATAATTATACCTATTTACAAGGTTAGACAGGAATGGTGTGGATCAAGCACTGTTGACCACACCAGTGATTTCATTTTTTGATAACTTGACCAAGATTGTTTATATGTTTGATGATTTAAAATTTCAGAAATTCACTGAATGTAGAAACGCTAAGCTTAAACTTAAACTAGGAAAAAACTTAAACAAAAAAACTAACAGAAAATATTTCCGAACGAAAAAAGAAAGGAAAAAAAATCATTACAAAATAAAAATATTATATTACATATAATTCTTATTATTCTAATTAAAAATTAGAATAATAAGAATTTAATATTAATTATAATATATATTAAATAAGCACTAAAATAAAAGTAAAAAATAAAAACTTAAACTTGAAGCAAATTTTCTTGTTACGTTTTTAATTGCGTTTGAAATAAATGTTAATACATAAAACACTTTTAAATTACATAACAAATTACTACGATTGTTAAAAATTTTTTTTTTACTTTTTTTAACACATGATAACTTTAAAAGTATTATTTAAAAGTTCATAACTATACTTCAGCTTTTTCTCCTTGAGATTCTCTCCTTCAGCTATCAAACTTCATGAGTTTTCTATAAAATAAATGTACATATTCTAAATAAGTTTAGTTAAATTTTGAAAATCTTTTACAATGCTCTCCAGACATTGTCTAAGTATATAGTTTTAAACATATAATACAATTAAACTGTTCTACAATTAAACTAAACTGCAAAAATTGATATTAATAAATTTTTTTTTATAAATACATATTTATTCAAATACATAGTCTCCTGAAAATTGAATCCATTTGACTTACCAGGTATTACGTTTTGGCCGACAATATTATTATTAAGTGTATTGTATTATTATGTGCATAAGTCTTTTATATCATAATATAATTTATTTATTTTTATAATGAGTTGTAATACAAACATGTTATAAATGCAATCTATTTACTACACAGCTGTTTTTTTCAAGTGCTGAACTAGATGTTTACTTTATATCCTTTTAGGTTTTGATTTAAAGATCATATTATAATCAATTTTCGAATAGTTGCAATGAACAAGATTTTTATATTGTTATATATATATATATATATATATATATATATATATATATATATATATATATATATATATATATATATATATATATATATATATATATATATATATATATATATATATATATATATATATATTTGTAACTATTCTAACTTTAAATTTCAGCTTTTCTACTGTTGAAATATGGTTTGAATTTAGTTAATTTTTATGATTTAAAGTTTACTTTATTGATCATAAGATAAAAGTTTAGAAAAAGAAATTTAACACATTTAGGTCAAAAAATTAGTTTACTTTTAACATTACAAAATTCGGTTTCACCGTTTATTCTCATGCTATTCCTAGTTTATGTTATATGTCGTATGTTAATAATGATAATATTTATTATATACATGAGAACATTTTTGCGTTAAACAATTGTGTTGGATTTATGAAATAAGTGTATCATATATTGATTGATTCTTGATATAATGGTCCATTACTGCTAATAAAGAATGGTTTCTGTATTATTTTGCATACAAAATATTATTATGGATACAAAATTTATATGTTTATAAGAATTATAATCTTAATCTGATGTTTTAACTTCATTATATCAATAGGCCCGTAGCAACCGGGGGGAAAGACAACTAAAAAACAGAAGATAAGTCCACCCTTGGTGACCTACTTAATAGAGGATTAGAAGTTTAAGAAATGAGCCAAACTTTGGGATTGTCTTATTGCTGTATTTTGAAAAACGCTTGCAAAATCCTTGTAAAGATGCTTCTGAACTTATTAAAAAGAAAAGTAAAATGTGCTCTGACAAATTTGCTGTAAGAAACGCAAATCAGCACTATAATCAATAGAGATAACTCACTAAAACAAACTAGAAACTGTGATAATCTGGCTTAATCAAGATTGCATATGTCTCAGATGTTTTTATACATTTTAAAATAACAAGAAATTTTTTATCACTGGTTCCACAAAAAAGGATCAATAAAAGAACTCTTTATTTAAGACAGTTATGCAAGAGAGATTCAGTATATATTGACAACAAAATTAGATTTTTTTTAAGAAACAGGATTTGAAAACAGGAGATGAAGCATAAGTAGATAAAGTATGGCCTCCGCACCTTATCTACTAATGAATATGCTCTAATAAATAAGAAAGCATACATACCATTTCCAGCTTACAGAGGACACTTAGATATCAAAAAGTCTATCAAACAAAGGTTAATGATTGGGTAGTTGTTAACTCATGGTCAAAAAAAGAAAAAATTAACTAATAGTAGTTTAGTTATATTATCTTTATTTTTTATTCATTTAAATATTTATTTCTTTTTTATTTATTCAAATATTTATTTCTTTTATATTTTTTATTATTATATCTTATTTTATTTATATATTTTACAAAATTTTTTTAAAAAAACTTTAAAAAATTCTTATAATGGTAATAAATGATTAAATTTAAAATTTTAATAGATGTTTACACAACATAAAGGTCTGTCACATCATTAATAACAAGATTTAGTGATACAGATAATCCTCAATACACAATGAAAACTTGTATAAAGTACAAATCTTCATTGTGTATTGAAGATTATCTTTATCTCTAAATCTTACTGTACAAAGACCAGGAGCTATTGATTAGGGTATTTCTAAATTCTTTTTAATTATTTCTGGTTTATTCATTCATTTTATTTATTTTTTAATAAAATTAACAACTTGACATTGTTTTTTTTTAATATTTAAATAATAAATTTTTTATGACTTATGTTTATTCACTTTTTAAATATATTTAAAATGTTTTAAGTTTTTCTTTACATATTACCTAGTTCTTATATTTTATATGATAATATTTAATACAAATAATATTATTTATAATTTTAATAAAATATGTTTTTATAAATTTATATTATGTGTTTTTAGTTAATTTTAAGTGTTTTAAGTTAATTGAATTAAATTTTAAATTATGTTAATAACTTTAAGATGGATTGTATTTACTATCAAGTACTTTGGTTATTTAAACAAATAAGAGTCAAATTTTCATTGGGTTTGATTATTTTTTTTTTCATTATATTTATTTTTTTATTTATCAGATTTCTGTTGATGAATAAAAAGAAACAAGATATATAAAAGATGATAAAAAGATACAAATAAATGAGATAAAGAGATAAGAGAGTTGAATAAAAAAATCGTGATTAAAAAAAGAGGTTAAGTAAAGAGAAATATGAAAGATGAATAAAAAAAGAAGTCAAAAAAAGCTTTACGAGCTTGATATTAAATAGTTCTATTACAGTGAGTCAAAAGGACTCACTGTAATAGAACTATTATTAATTTAGAAAAATGCTGGATCAAAAGGAATGCTGGATCAAAAGGAATGCTGGATCTTCTTTGTGTCTCTGTTTTTATGACTAGGTAACTCATTCTGTTATTTCTTAATGAGGATACAGCTCTAAAACTCAGTTATATGGTCCTAAGACCAGCTGGTAGTCAGGTTTCTCAAATTTTTTAGTAGCATTTAGAGAGGCTGAATCCATCGATAGCTGTAAAATATCAGATTACTAACAGTGTTATGTTGGGGATGAGTGATAAGCTAACTGTGACTCTTTCCATGATTTTTTTTCTGGTGCCCTTTGGTAGAGCTTTTTTGTCTTTCTGCTGACAAACGTGCTTCTTATGTAACTTCTTAGATTCAGGTTGGCATGGATCTTTTACTACCTCCTGATATATCTAAGTCAAACCTCACTCTTCTCTTCGTGGTTTTCCTCTCAATTTGATGCTGTAATTTCCAATTGTAACCATTACTTCCATATCTATTTCCAAAACAATTCTCCAAAAAACAGGCGTCTGTTTATTGTTACTAGAAATCATTGTTAAATGGTAATTGTCTAATGACTAAGCCCGCTATTCTCAAATCACAAATCTTGTTTTTTATCTCAAAAGAGAGGCTCCAGAGGCTTCTGGAGACTTTTTAACTGTTATTCCTGTTCTCTTTTGTGATTCAGATTTTGTTACATTACTTAATGACAAAGGTGAATTGTTTGCTAAAAACTTTTTATAAATTTAATCTCTTAATTCCACTAATCACATCTTACCTGATATAGCCAACATACAGTTTGATCTATTGCTTGACATGCATATAACTCCAGCTTCTGCATCTAATGTGATTTTCTGCTTAGACTTCTATACCTGTTAAAGTTTTGAAGAAGTGTTCTCTGTAGCTGTTGTCTATAATTGTTGTCAAAACTATTTAACAAGTGCTTATTAAGTTCTAAATTTCTAGCCTGGTGGTTATCGACACCTGTTATTTTCAAAAATTCTGGAGAGCGGTCTAACTACCATCCCATTAAACTGCTGTCGTCTTCTCACTATCATAAGCAAGAATTTTAAGTCTTTAATTAACAAACACTTAATCTTGAATCTTGAATCTAATAACTTACTTTATGATTATCAATATGGTTTGCAATCATCATATCATAGGTAAAGGATTTTTTTAATTTAATCTTAATATTTAATTTTTTATAAAATTAAAGTTTGTTAAGCAATTATAAAACTGTTTTGTTTTAAATTTGTTACTCTTTATATATATATATATATATATATATATATATATATATATATATATATATATATATATATATATATATATATATATATATATATATACAGTGGCATAGAAAGGTCGCAAAAGTTAGAGGGGCTGAAAACATATATTAAAAAGGAAAAAGGTCCTCAATTTTGTATGATACAGCAAAGTAGATAAAAATAATCTATTTATTCAATTATTTATCACATGCAATGTGGGTTAATCATCTTTTTAACGTGATTAGTCATTTTTTGTCAGCACTTATTCATTTAAAAAATAGTTCGAATGCGAAAGTATCTTAATCAGTTTTATAGATATACTTTTCCTTGGTGATGTTTAATTGTGATTAAGTCATTGCAGACTGGAAAATAATGATTCCGTTGTTGCTATCATAAAAGTTTTTTTAAAACTGTTAAGGAAATGGGGAGGCTAAATCCAGTGTTAGCCCTTCCCCTCTTCCCCCCCCCCCTCCTCTAGAGTTTAAGATAGGGGGGGGGCAATCGCATTTTTTGCCTCCTCCCCCTCCCTGTTCCAATGCCAGTGTATATATGTATATATACATTTATATATACTTCTTTATATATTTTTATAAAAAGTTTGTTATTTGACCAAAATAAGTTTTTATTTAAATTATTTTTACTCATTTTGTAAATTCAAATAATTAAAAGAAATAAATTAAAGTAAATTTTTTTTTTATAATTCCAGTGCTTTTTTCACCTCTGTAATAGTTTGGTTGCATCACTGAACTTTTACAACTTATACAAGAACTTTTACAACAAAGATGAAGTTTTCCAAATATCACCGAACAAAAAGATGTCATTCGACTTCAATCATTTGACAAATAATATTGCGATATTTTATTTATATTATACGCTAATAGAAGCTTTCGAGTTATTCAAGGAAAAACATTAACACATTAAAGTTCAACTTTTGACGAAAATTTGCGACCTTCGTCCAGGCAATGTAAAATCTGTAACAAATTTTCTGCATAAGGTTTGTGTTTGTAGTTTGCAGGAAATTACGGTAATTAAAGTTGACTGGTCTGAAAACATTAGGTGTTTCCAAAAAAGTGAACCACTAGAGGCTCATTTTGGTCAAAACAAAATTTATATCATGATCTTAGCAGTCTGGAAACAAGTATTGAAAATCTCTTTGTAAAATTTTTGTTGACATTTTAAGCCTATTTTAGAATTTTTCTTGAATTTCTAGCAATCTCTGATAGACAAAAATTGAACTGCTGCCCAAAATTACTTGTTGTTATATTTTTTTGAAATATGCACAAAAATTAAACGAAAATTTTTTAATTTAACATGACTTAAAAAAAAAAAAAAAAAGAGAACCTATATAAATTGTTTTATGGGCTTTCTTTTGGATCTTGATAAATAAATCAAATCAAAGCACAGTAATCAGGATTAACTTAAAGTTTCATTTGCTGAACTTCTGGCTAAATATTACTTCATGGTTAAATTGATAAATAATTTAAATTTAATTTGCAGAGATTTAGTTTTACTTAAAGTAAGCTTGAAACTTTTACAAACAACCAAACTTGAAAAAAATTACTCAGCATTTTTTTTTTTCTTTTTTGCAGAAAGGTTAAAAAAAACATTAGAACCACACAAGATTCTAACTTGGAGTGTAAGACCAGCATGCTCATAAATACTATGTATTTTAATTTTTATAGCGCTAGCATGCAAGTGGTTTTTTTTTATTTTGAGTAAGCTTTCTTTTATACTTAAGTTTTCTCAAATTGACCAAAAAGTATTATTTCTGATTCTGCTAAAATTTAACTTTAAACTTATACAACCTTTTATAGTCTAAATTTTAAATTTTTTGATATGTTTGTCACTAAGTAAATTATTATGTTCCTGCATTCTTATCATTATCTTTCACTGTATCATTAGGTGATACTTCTATACTTGATCAATATGTATATTAACCTGCAGCTAATGATCTTGATCCAGGTCCTGATGGTTATCTTAAATACAATATTCTAAGTGGTAACAACGATGGGTTATTTTATATTGATGTTACAGGTTTTTAAATTATTATTATTTTAACATTTATTTCTTTTATTATAAATAACTATAGTATATATGTGTGTAAATATATTTATATATACATTTATATACATATATATATATGTATATATATATATATATATATATATATATATATATATATATATATATATATATATTTATATATATATATATATATATATTTATATATATCTGTGTGTGTATATATATGTATGTAAAAATATATTTTTTTATATATAAAAATTTAATATTTTTAACAACTATTAGTTTCATGTTTATTGCAATCATCAGGTTTTAATAGTTTTTAAGTTTTACACTGTAATGTGTTTGTCGTTTTTTTGATACTTATTATTTATTCTTAACGTTTTAACATCTTAGAGTCAAATTCTCTTTAAGCTTAAAAACTGCCTAAAGTAACCCAAAATATTAAACATAAAAAACCAATCCCCACCACCAAGCTATTTTAATACATGAATATTCGTGATATGCAAAGCAACCTTCCATCAGTTGAATCTTACTTCTTGCTAAATTTACCAGACTTGTTTTTAGTGAGACTAATTAAACTCTCTTATTTCTTCTTCTGATCTTAGTGTTGATGTGTACTATCCTTTGATTCGCAAAGATTCCAATCCCCAAGCCATGTCACATGCATGGCTTGGGGTACACAAATACATCAGTTCCCCTATATGTCTTTGATATGGTTCGAATCTTTTGACCATTCTTTTATATGCTTCCGTCTAGCACCTTTTCATTTTATCACCTTTCTCTTTGTTTTTTATCATTCTCTTTTTTTCTAAGACTGCAACTTTTAGGTGTGTTTTCTGATCAAATTGACCATGCCTTCTATCTTTACCCCTTTGCCAATATTGTTGTTTTATGTGACTTTAATGCTCAACACACTGAATGGATTGATTATAATATTACTAACCCTGCTGGCACTAAAGCCTATAACTTCTGCTTTTCTCAATCTCTTAATCAGATAGTTAACTTTGTGACTCATTTTCCTGTCAACCGTAATTATTTAACTTCCCTCTATGATTTATGTCTGGTTTCAGATCCTAGCTTGTGTTCAGTTTTTCTTTTTTTCTCCTTTAGATGGTTCTGACCATGCATTTATTTTGATTTCTTTTGTTATAAGTTTTTCTTTCAAAATATTAGATAAAATAATTTTTAACCTAAATAATAATGCACTTTTATTAATTTGCTTTGTAAATATTAAAAAAAAAAATATTAACGCATTTTTTCTCTGATTTTCAAAAATGTATTTTTTGGTATTGAGGTGATCTAATTTCATTATTTATATTTCCATTATAACATCCAATATATATTATGGCGGGGGCTTAAAAATTAAAAAACTAATGTATATTAATTTTTATTTACAGACATACATGGAAACATAATTAACTTAAATGTTCTTAAAACATTTTGCGAAAGAATAAAAAGAATACTCGCGAACACTAAAAACCAGCTAAATTTGCGAACAAACTATTTCCATTTGTTCAAAAAACACGCTGACTAAGCAAAATAAAGTTCTAGAGTATTCTGTTTAAATGTTTTAGGAATTGTATTACTTACGATTTGTTGCGTTTTGAGATATCTAGCATAAATTTTTTTAAGAATATATTATCAAATGAACTATTACTTTAATATTATGGCTCATTCTTGGAGCCATATCTGTAAAGCCATAAAATTTTTAAACTATTATCATTTGTTTACAAAAATAAATGTTTTATAATATATATTTTTTAAATTGTCAAAATTTTGAAAGTTAATTACAAATTATATATTTTATTAGTACATTCTTAATTTTTATATCTTTTCTTAGAGCTTGGTTTAATTGTTTGTTAGATTTGTAAAAAACTAACAAAAAATTAATAAAATAAACTTTTAATATAATAAGTAACTATAGTTAGCTATTTGAGTAAAATTTAATAGTAAATTTTTTAAAGAATTTCTAGAATGTTTCCAATGACGTCATGCTCTTAAACTCCTATGAATTAAACGCGCTTGAATAAATTTTCAAGTCTGTATAATGCGCCTGGAAAATCCCTTTTATTTTACATACTCAAAATACCAGAGAAAACGGAGAAGACGAGCTTCGACTAAAACAACAAGATTTGTTTTTCTTGGTTTACATTTATTATTTAGTTTTAATCAAAAAAAATTTGCTCAGACGTTTTTTTTTAACATTCTCTTTAATAACACAACATGCCTCGGGACTTGGTAGTCCCTTTAACAAGGGTAGGTCTAACATTCCATCTCCCATTCATGGGACTGATCTTATTACCACTCCCAAGAGTAAGGCAGAACTCTTTTCAAATAACTTTTCTTCTAATTTTGTCTTATTTTGGCTGGTTCTCCAAATGATGGTCTTCCTCTTTTAGACAAGGTCCAAAAACACATTGTGAACTAGCTGTTTATGGTTGCTTAAAAAGTTTTTTTAGTAATTTGAGAAAATTTCTGTTGATTCCATAGTTTTTAAGTTTTTTTATAATAATTTTTGTATCAGAATCTCGTGATCTTATCAAAGGCTTTTGATAGGTCAATGAAAACTCCAAGAGTGTATATTGTGGTTTCTCAAATGATTATGCAATATTTCGAGTTAGATGAAGTATTGTGTGATAGTGGAATTATTTTTTTTAAATCCATATTGACTGGTATTTAATATTTATTTATAGATGATCATATATTGACCATATTGACTGCTATTTAATATTTATTTATAGATGATCATATACTTTAATGTAAAGAATTCTTTCAAAATTCTTTGAATGAGTGTTATGGTAGATTTTTAGAGTTATATATGATGAGATGTGATAAGTTCAAAAAAATACGGACAACTACAAAAAATACAGACAATTATTGAAAAAATACGGACAACCACTACAAACATGGATTATATCTAATATAAACTAATTAATGAAAAAAATAGATTATGTTCAAAACTTTTTGCATCTTGTATATATAATCATGAATTATTAACAAAAATAAAATGTTTATCAAACTTTAGACTCAAATTTATATTGATATCCTTTAATATGCCTTTAAACTATTTAAATGTAAAACAGCTAGATGTTCTGAAAAAAGTCTTTGTAAGTTTTAAGCATATGTGAACAGCAAACAAAAATGTAAGGATATAACTTGCACTGATACAAATGGTACAATTTGTGAGAACCATTCAGTTAAATTTAGTTAAGAAGTTTGTTAAACTTCTTTTTTAAATGTTTATTTACTCAAAATGATAAAGCCTTACAAAAATATGATGCTGTTACTCGAGTTTACTATGAAATTGATATAAATAAAATAATCTGCCAAAATAACTTTTGGACAGTTATCAATTACGTGGAAAGATTTAAACATAATTCCAATTTTTGAAATTGTGATAGGCTTGATCCTTCAAATTATAGACCTATTTTCTTTCATTCATTATATGTAAAGTTTAAGAAAGTTTGTAAAAATAGCATTCGGCATCTTTTAGATAATAATTTTTTAACAAGAACCAGCATGGTTTTTACCGATTAAATTTTGCATTACAAAATTACTTAAAAGCCAACTCAAGCAATGGATCAAGAATACCCTATTGACATGTATTCTAAGCTGAAACACATGGTATAAATAAAGAAAAAATAAAAAGTTTTTGTTACTGTCATTGCTTTTACAAAGATTTGTGTTTTAAGTGGTGTGCCTACTTAAAACACAAAAACACTGATTGTTAAAAGCTAAATAGTGCTTCCACCCATTAACTTTCAACAACCCTTTAACTTCCAACAATACCCTTTAATGTTAACACCTTTTAACTTTAGCACCCTTTAACTTTACCCTTTAACTTTAACACCCATAACTTTCAGCAAAAATAAATTTCTATTACATAGCATTTTTTAATAATTAAAAAAATAAAGAAATGATATATAGCTTTTTGTGACAAAGCATTTAACTTATAAACTTATTTAAACTTTTATAAACTTAATTATTTAAATTTTACTTAAGGTATTTAAATTTTATAAATATATATTTTCTTGTGAAATTGTATATTATTTCCTAAAAAGTGTATAATTTCTTTTGTAAATATAACAGAAATCTTAGTGTCAAATCATAGTCTATCAATGTTAAGACAAACTATTCTTATTCTTTGTTTTTTTTTTGTGTGCTCTCAAGTGTTGTTGGGATGTCAATTGAATCATATTATCCTTTAATAAA